CCTGACACACATGCAAGCGCATCTTAGTCCGCAGAGTCATTGCGCCTGGTCTTGCACGGGCTCAGCCAGTGCAACCTTTAACAGGCATGCCTACTGTATGTTCAAGTACAGCATCAGAATCTTTGTAAAATACTTCATCTCGTATCTGCACTGCAGCGAATCAGGCAGATGGCTTATCTTCTTGTACCCGATTCAAGTTGGTCTTTTCTTTTGAATGATATAATTAGGGCTCTGGATTTAGAAACTGTATTTGTGATTCACCTAACTGGAGTACATCCACGCACAAGAGTTTTACAGTGTCAGTGCCCTATAGAGACTCTGCTTGACATTTTAGTGTTGTGTAATATTGTACAGTAAATAGTGTATTCTAGCATAATAGTGCTTCTCAAGAATGAAAGGTATGTACAGTATTTGAACTAGTTTTTACTTAACTTGATTAATCTTGATAAACAGCAGCAGGTATATTTGACAGAGGTTCCCAAAGATTTAGCACAGTCTTTAAGTCTTCAGTAATAAAAGACAGGATTACAAAGAATGATTTTAAAATTTGATTGGCATATTATTCCCAGAGACAGTGGTGTTGCGATAATATAATATTACAACCTGCTAATGTTTAGAAATTTTAGGTTTAGTTAGTACAGTAGCTCAATATGAAACTTATTGTGTTACTCATACTGTACATTAATGGTTCCCCAAGGGATAATCAGTGAACTCAGTGATAATCGAATAAAGACGCTGTAAGAGCAGATCACGCAGTGGAAGAGAGGCCTGTTGCGGTTTTGTCATTGTGGAGGTACAGCTGACTCAAGCCACAACAGCTCAGAGCTTATCCTGCTTCCCAGGGTGTTAAATGAGCAAAGAGCTCCTACAGTACCTCCCAGCCTGGATGAGTCAGCAGTTCATCGCCGAGCCCCTCAGCATCCTCCACTCTCCCTCCATGTGCTGTAGTCAGGCGGACTGGAGCTACTGGGGTAAAGGACCTCAGTCTAGGTACAGCAGCACTGTCCACAACAGGGACTCGAACCCACACCCTGCCAGTCAGGAGTCCAGAGACTTTTCCACTTCTCTGCTACACTGCCCTTTCGGCCTCAGGTGGGTTAACGGTAATAATTCAAACAGTAGCCACTGAGCAGCGCTGGAAAGGCCTAATGAGGTTTATTACAAAAATCAGGGAAGGATGACAACAGCCAAGGTCAGTCAGGCTCCACTGGCAGTAATTCGCAATCACTCCTGCTGTCACTTCCTCTCCTGAAACACCATAAATCCCGTACTGGATCCCCTTCTCTCCCTCCGTCTCCCCTCCTCCCCCTCCGCAGCTGCCCCCTGGTCACTCCTCACTCCTCAGGAGTCCTGGCCTCCTCGTCCTCTCTCCAGCAGGTTGTTTACTGTCACTAAAATACTCCGCAGGCCTTTCAATACACTCGCTGTAATTGTTCCTAGCGAGCCTCTATCCGAGCCTGCCCTTGATGTGGCACAGCAGCCGTGCCTCCTGGCTGAGCGCTGGCTCAGAGCAGCAGTCAGGCTGTGGCGGTGTTGGGAGGAGAAGTTGCTGGAAGCCTGGTTATTAGCCTTTGATCTTGCCGT